TAGCTCTGGAAATAAAGATTTTTCCCTTCAGTACATACAATATGAGATTTTTCAAAGCAGCAGCTTAGTCTAGGATTCAACAATTGCTGAAATCTAGTTGTCAACAATTTCTGTCTAGAAACCATCAGAGAATTATCCCGTGCAATTATCCTGTAGTGAGGCTCTAAGTTAGGCTATGTAAACCAGCACATAGAAACAAACCCCTATTCTGGACACTACACAGTCATTTATTCCCTACCTTAAACAAAAATGCAGGCTTTCATGAAGGACACAGAAGCAAGTTATTACCTTCCTCCGACCCACTCCTAATATGTTTTATCTTTATTCTTTACAATCCTGGACAGCGAAGCGGCTGAGAGCCACCAGCCTTTCTGATGCCACATGGTTATTGTCCCRGTTGTTTGCTCTGGTTCCAGCTGAATGATAGCAGGAGCTGTTCTGCTTCTGAGCAAAGGGGAGGAGGAGCTGCAAATTCTTCGTTTTTCAGGCTAGAATGAAAGAGACCTTAAAAGCTGTTTGCCACACAACTTACAACTCCTTTTGTATTTAATGGCCTGAAAATATTAGAGTGAATAAATGCTAATGATTTGGGGGTTTGCAGTATTGTAGAGCAAATAAAGAAGTCAGGCTAGTAATAACTTGCCTCTGTGTTCACACAATCATTTTACTTCAGAATGCCATGAAAATACTTTAAACAGATTTCTGTCAAGGTATTGTTAGAATAATAGGCTTACCTAGTGTTCAGGATTCAATCAATGTTTTCCTTGATATAGGATGTAATTTTGTAAGTGATGAGGACAAACACAATTAACTCAAAACTCTAATTAAATTTCTGCTGCAGATATCTTCCTTGCTATGCCACTTTATTCTACATGCTGATAGAAGAGAAACAAAATGAAGAATCCTGGTCTCTGAATCACTCAGATATTGCATTTTCAGACACAGCTGGCACTTCAGAGATCAGGGTACCTGTGAATTTCAGTTTACGTTTGCCAATGTACAGAGTGGGATACATCCAAGTGGCAACAAAAGCAAAGTGAGATTGTAGAAAAAAAAAATTAGATGAAGTGTGTGAAGAAACTATCTACAAATAGGAGAAAGAGAGCTATCAGGGAAAAAGAATAGAGAACAGGCCAGATCCTCTGGATGGTCCTTACAGTTTTGTGCCTTCATAGTGGCATAAGGAAAGCCAACTATGGGAGAATAATCCTGGAACAGCATAAAGCTATTGCAGAAACTTGTCCTTCTGTGCCCCAACCTCAGCTCAGGATGGAAGAGAAGACTGGAAAGAGAGGGCCTGCTGCTGAGAGCTGCCTGYTGCCCACTCTCCAAACAGCCTCATGGGGCCCAACACCCAGCAGGGGACAGATGGGGGGAACAACACAGGCTGTGACAGCTCCTGTGGAGCTGGAAAGTGGAATCAGGTAAAGAGTGAATAAAGGCATCTCTGTGCCCGTCCCTCCAACCTTCTGCTGATAATAGCTCGGATGGATGAAACAAACTGGCTCACTAGGACTTGGTTGGAAAAGATTGATACAACAGTCTGGCACATCATGGACAAATGAATATTACCATCTCACTTTTTAATACAAAATATTAAAGTTTTGAAAAAGAGATGTGCTATCACAAGAGAGATAGTTATGTTTTCACTTATATCACAGTTGAGATGATTTYGTATCCTTTCTCTACCACAGAAAAGCAAACCCTTTTTTCCATTTATACCTTGACAATGGTGCTCATTCAACAACATTAACAGTGATGTAAAAATGACATGTCCTTTTAAATGGGAATGAACAGTAGTGCATAACTAGAAATGCAGAAAAAAAATCAAAGTTGCAACTTCCTATTTCTTATTTTGACATGGAAGAATATTTCCCTGTTTTTTTAACTAAACAAAAATGGATAAAACTTGCCATAACTGAGTACAGCTCTCAGTACAGCTAAATAAGCAAAAAAAACAAAACCAAAAATCTAGACGGATATATTACTTGTTTAAATTAAACACTTCTAAATGGAAACTTTGCTCAGGTTTTTCCAACTTCATAAATTTTGACTGACATATCTGTCCTTATAACAGACACTCTAAATCAAGAGCCCTTAGCAGAAGTGTTCTTAACTGTAACAGTTTTAAAGTGTGACTGTCTGTGCCAGGTGAGATGAACTCCAAAGTGTCTCTACAAGGAAGCTCCAGGTCTCTATGAGAGCAAAGGATTGATGTTGCTTTGGATGTGTCTGGTGGTGCAATTAGTGTCAGCTTTTAGAAACCACATAATACTAGGCATGGGGAAAAAAATAAAAAAGAGTGTAACTTGTATGTCTTAGCACTCCAGCATGGGAGAAATCTAACACTGAAGCATTGCCACTCACCTCAAAAAGGCCAGGATTTCAACTGATATAATCCAAACTCACTAAAGTCTTCCAAAGGATTTTGAGCAATATTATGCAACCTTTAACATCTGAGGGCCAAACACGTTATTTTGAAAGGTCAAAAGGATAAAAATGGGAGCAGCTCACTACCCTGCCCTACTGTCTTTACACTGCATAGGTAGCATTCATTCAAAACCTCTGCTTTTAAAACAGGGCACACCTCAGTGTGTATGTTCTATTCATAAGGCAGTACAAATCTTCTGCCTGGTTTAGCTGTCCTTAATTTAAGCCCAACCATTTAGGGCTCTGGGCCAGAGGTTACACACCAAAAGAAAAAAATCAGGGCCTGACTCGCGATGACTCAAACCTCTCACTCGGTGCCGAAACACTTCAGCACTCCCTTGGTTATTTTGGCACTGGGAATTTATGACCCAGATTCTGGRGCACTGGATGGCCCAATCCTGCCCCTGTCTCAATTAGGCTATTCACTCAGCTTCTCTCTCCGTGCTTCCTGCAAATCCTAGCAGGAAAAATCTGTAATGAAGCACCATGAACCGTCACCAAGAGAAGTCCTGAGATGGGCTGCGGAGTTAACACAGGCGAATGCATGCCTCCCTTAAGGCACCTTTAAGCAGTCAGAGCAACATTAAGGAAACATGGTTAAAAGATTCACTTAGAATTGAATTTTATCASTTCCTGGATGGTTTTCAGGAGGTCTGTTTTGGAACAACTGAATAAAAAGCATGATTTAAGTAATWTTAGAAAAGTGAACCACGATGTCAAGAGTGTGCAATGCACCTTTCAGCACAATGAGAAGCATTACTTGCAGGAGGTCTGCACTTTTGGAAGGACTTTTACTCATCCTATTTTACTAATTACTTCATTATTAGTCCTTCTGAGAAGCCAATGTATGCTAGCAGATRGAAACCCACCTAGATGATATTAGGAGATTTCTCCATCATAAGCAGGAAAACATCTTGAACACAGAACAGGAAGAACCAGTGACTGGTATTTTTTAGGTTCAGGTGAAAATGTCATTGGGATTATTTAGCAAAGAAATAGGCAGAAGAAATAAACCAAGTTATTTAAAAATGATTTCTCAACATTAATTTTATGTACGGGGAAACTGCAAAAAGCTCTTATGTTAACTGGATATAATATGAGAGGCAGGTGTCAGTAATGTTTCTAATCCTTATATACCTCAGCAATGCTTCAACTTCTCAGCTTCTGTATGTTTGATGGCACAGACTCCACCTACACCTCAACCATAAGTCAGAAAAAATACAATACTTCACAGCTCAAGCAGGGAGAAACTTTTCCTCCTACATGTGGCATGGTGAGAATACATTTTATTTTTTTAATTYCCTCAAGTTGTTAAAAGAGGGGAAACATTTTGACACGCCATTACCCCTTTACTCTTGGCTGGTSTATTTCCCTGTTAGAGGAAGACAGGTTTGAGGTGATAGAAGTTTACATAACATAGCTAAGCATATTATGTAAAGATTAAAGCAGCAGGGTCGGCGCAGGGACAGAAGTGTCAACGCAGCCCGCGTTACCTGACAGCCAGTTCTGTTGGAGGTTTGTTTTGTTCCAGCTTAATATTCCCGCKAAACAACTAACATTAAAGTGCGGCTGTGCCTTGGCCTCTCCCATTCCTGACTGCGACGCTTTCCACCGAGGCAATACCTGCCTGCGTGGGAGGTGAGGTTCATTTACTTGGCCACATTCAGGCGACAGCGCCTATCTCCAGCCGGGATGCTGCCCGTCACCCGGTGCCGCCAGCGGCCGGGGGCGGTYTGTGCCACCCAGCTGCGCTTCATGGCACGCAGCGGTCGAAACTACCACGGTAACACAAAGTGTGGCCACCAAGTGCCAAGGGCCTGGGCCTTCCCTGCCAGCCGGCCCTCCCCAGGTGCCGCGTCCCTCCCCCGGGGACACCGGCCGCGTCCCCTCCGGCTGCTYCCCCCGGCTCCGCGGAGACAAAGGCGCTGGGGAGGTGCGGGCGGCGGGCCGGCACGACCGGGGGCGCGGAGGAGGGGGCTGACCGGCGAGGGGAACAAAGGAGCCGAAAAAGACCAGAAGAACCAAGAAAGTTGATACCGGCCTCCGCCGCCCCCTGCCCTGTGCCGGCCCGCCCCTGCCCCCCCCTTCCCGGACTTTCCCGTGGGAGCCCGCGGCAGCCCGGCGGCGGCAGGGAGAAAGGCCGGCTACCTTCACCTCCATCCCACCCGAATCCCCAGCGCAAGGTCCCCGCTCGCCCCATCTCCTCCCGCCTCCCGCTTCCTCCCGTGCCCCGCTGACCCCGCCCAGCCCCCCCCAGGTCCCGGTGCTTCCCTTTAACGCGCGCTCCCGCCGCCGCCTCTCGCCCCTCCCCCGTGCCCGGCGGCGCGCGGCCTCCTCCAGCCCCCGCGGGCACGCGCCCGCCC